TATAATAATGTTTATATTTGAATAAGGAAACAGATTATACATAAATTTTTTGACGTTACATTTGTCATCAGTAAAGAACAGCTTTACTGAAAAATGCATGCGCCTTAAGAATTATACGTAAAAAGTCTACCTATACCTATTATATATAACATTTCGAGTACCACGAGTAATTAATATTTCCTCAAAGAATTATTTATTACAACTGACAAAATAAGGAACGACCAATATAAAATTCAGAAAGCTTGCAAACATTAAGAACATCGACCACCATAACAGATTTAACTAAGAAACTTACTATGTAAGTAAATCCATTTCTCACATCTAATTAAAGAATTTAATCAACGGAATCGTCAGTCATCAATCATCAGTAAAAGGAAAAACAACGATGACACAAGCTAATTAAAGTTTGCAACATAAGTAAGGGTTGTCTCAGAATGTTTTTCGTTTTTGAATTGACCAATTCGCGCCAACCGCAGGTAGCAGGGGGAGGGGGAGTGGACTCAAATGTTTGGGTAGCCATGAATCGTTTCAAAGGACCACACGCGTTTTGCGTGCGAGCGTTTTATAAAAACAACGATTCTTACACTGTTGTTCGTAGTCTCTACAGGACACATTTTAATTTAACAATCTTAAGACATGTGCCAAGTGCCAATTTAATTAAGAATTGGGTGTGCAAGTTTGAAGAGACTGGGAATACAATGTCGGACAAATCGACTGGGCGCAAAAGGACATCAAGAACGAGCTTGAACGTCGACCGCGTTCGCCAGTCTGTTATGAACGACCCACGACAGTCGTTGAGATTGCGCGCAGCTTCTCTTAATCTGAACAAATCTACGGTTCATCGCATTATTTCGAAAGATTTACATTTTCACCCTTATAAAATTGTAATTGTTCAAGAAATGAAGCCTGATGATCCTGATAAACGAGTCGAATTCTGCAGGATAATGAAAAACTGTTTTAGAAGTTTCAATAACATCTGGTTCTCCGACGAATCGAATTTTCACATCAACGGTCACTTTAATAAACAAAACTGCAGATACTGGGCTCCCGAAAATCCGTTAGAACTGCATCAGAAGCCCTTGCACTCGCCAAAAGTTGTTGTTTGGGCTGCCATATCAAGTCAAGGAATTATCGGTCCTTATTTTTTTGAGGATGACCGAGGTCGAACTCAGACCGTTAATTCTGATCGATATTGCCATATGATCCGGACTTTTTTGGTTACAGAAATGCAAAACCAGAACGGCTACAACCGCAACACCTTTTTCCAGCAAGATGGAGCCACTTCTCATGTTACAAATGACTCATTAGCTGCTCTTCACGATTTAATCCCTGGAAGAGTGATAAGTCGCCGAGGAGACATCAACTGACCACCGCGGAGCCCTGATTTAACGCCTGCTGATTTCTTCCTATGGGACTACCTGAAAAGTAAAGTTTACAATCCATTGCCACCCAACCTGAATGTTTTGAAGCAAAGAATCACTGAAGAAATCAACTCTATTCCAAGAACGATGCTCCAGCGAGTGATTGAAAATTTTAGCTTCAGGTTAAATGAGTGTGAACAAGTGAATGGTGCGCATTTGCGCACCATTCACTTGTTCATTTTGTGCATTTTGCGCATTGCAAACGGTGGTTTTTCATAAATAAACTTCAAGAATTGCTCTTTAAATAAACCATAAATAAAACAAGTTTTAATTAATATTGTTGTTTTTTATTTAACATCTAAAAACGAAAAACATTCTGAGACACCCTTTACATAATTAACTAAGATTATATCTACGTCTAAACATCTACACGGCCGCATGGAAGTCTGGCTTTCAGCCAGCTGTGATACCGATAAATACCGAAAGCTCTTACCATTGAAGAACAATCTGTAAACTACGCTTATCAAAGAAGCTTCTCTGCGGCACATAACAGGCCTTTATTACCTGCTATGTTCATTATAATAACGATTTACATAATATCAATGACACTTAAAGGTAGTTATTTAAAATGGGGTGCTGTAACCATATCGGGCTATATTTGCTTGGTACAAGTAGCAAGTCCTTTAAAAGTAATGATTATCTGCACTCTCGTGTACTGGAAATCAGTACAAATAAAGAAGTAGTACTAAATATAAAGGCATTCTGCATTTTTGCAATCGCTTATTCGTGACATGAACGGTTTTTCCATAGACTCTTGAGATAACATACATTATATACATCCTACTAATATTTTTACGTGGTAGATCCATGCTGCAACTAAATATAGCTAACTATAATAATAGTTGTAGCACGAATAGGTTGGCTCGACCAGGGAAAGACCACGCTATCACAACACCAGCGTGAAATAGCAGCTTAATGCTGCTGTGTTTTGTACAGTGAGTATAAAGAACCGGAGACCCTTTTTATTGGAAACGAGGCATTCCATCTTAGTCCTCAAGGATGACAACGCATCTGCATTTTGATTCTTGATCGAGGATAAATATAGATGTCTATGGGCTACAGCATCCACTTACCATCACGTGGACTGCGTGCTCGTTTGTCAAAATTGGTTGACCCTGCAGGCCATCCTTGGAACTTCCCACTAGTTTCAATATCAAAGCGCTCCAAATTGTACTTATAGTTTTGGAGAACCACGTTTATTTATTTTTTTCAAAATTGAATGCTTCACGAACAAACCAACCAATTTTGATGTTATTTATGGCAATCGACGCAGTTTTTTTTAGCTTAACAGAAGAGCCTTTTACAAAAAATTGATTTCATGGAAAGTTTTAAGTTGTTTTGAAAAATACTTTTTCGAGATTTCTTCGTCAACGATGTCTCTCGAACGAATCAACCGATTTTGATGCGGTTCACGGCAATAGACGTCGCTTTCTGAGTAGAAGACCATGTGTTTTTTTTTCTTCAAAATTGTATAATTCAGAAACAAATCAACCGATATTGATGTGATTTACGGCAATCGATACAGTTTTTAAGCTTAACAGAAAAGCTTATAAAAATTTAATTGATTTCACGGAAAGTTTTCAAGTTATTTTTAAAAAACACTTTTACGAGATTACTTTCGTCAAAAATATTTCTCGAACAAATCAGCCGATTTTGATGAGGTTCACGGCAATCGACGTCGATTTTTGAGTAGGAGAGCTGATTATATTATTGAATTAATCAAAACAAGGGTGTCGGAGTAATTCTAAGAAATCTATTTTTTGAAAATTAAAAATACCCGAATTTTTTTCGTGTACCATCGTTTGAATAATAGTTAGTAGTTACAATAATAATAATAATAATAATAAGGTTTATACTTTTCTCACACATATTTAGTTATAAACATAAACATACAACTTAATATTAATATGCTACGATCAAGTAGTAAGTAGTGGATTACATTACGTAAAAGTGATGAAACAAGCGTCCCGATGGTTCCGTGACGCAGTGATTTAGCAATGAGTTAGGCGCTGAGGGTCGCGAAATTCGAATCCATACGGAACAAGTACTTGTATGGCCTGCAAGTAATGGTTCCGGATTTGGATATTTGCCGTTGTGCAATTTATGTGTGTAAACTGCCTCTACGATACAGGAGAAAATCCTAACGCCGATTAGCTTAAGCTATCGTCAAAATCTCCAAAAATTGCAATTTGACGCATCAACATATTACTTATCATCAATTGAAACTGGCAAAAGTACGACCGTACGAGCCTATTATCAAAGAAAACAAATTAAAAATAAAATATGTGAATTTTGTATTTAAATGTATATATGGAATATGAATATTGTAGAACAAAGACTAGAAAAAAACATGTTTAATAGAAGCAAAGTTTCATCAGAAGATATTAACCAAAACAACCAATAAATAATCAAAAAGTGGAAACAAGGAAGTTAATTTAAGTTGTAGTAATGTATTAACAAATGGTGGAGAGAGCCCTGTAGCAGTAACTCTTAAGCAGAAAAAAAATATGTCTATAGATTGTTATAAGATTGAATAAAACTTCTTTTAAGAATTTTATCGCGTTTAATTTACTTATTTTTAATTCCCCACACGACGTTTCGGGTGCATGCCATGGGTGCTATAAAGCACTTGAAACGTCGGGAATTAAAAAATAAGTAAATTGAACGCAATAAAATCGATAAAATTAGTTTTATACAACGTATAGAATTCACGTATATAATAAATCATTATTGTTATAACATTACTAGTGAATAATTGTGAATTATAATTAGTATTTGCCGTGCAGTGAGTGACTAAAATTCGCTTTATAGTATAAAATGTCCGAAGAAATGTGACAAAAGTTTCATTTGACGATCATTGTCAGCTCTGCTTGTAACTGCATCCTTCTTATAAATTGACTACATAAGCTCTTATAGAAACATAATGTGCACATTGTTAATGAATCCAATTTATAAAAATGCTTTTTATTTAATTTTAACGTTTTAGCTCAAAACTCTTTTCAGAATTACTCTCAAAATTAACTCAAAATAATAAGTACTTCAACATTGTTCCTAAAATATACCCAACGAAAACCTTTATATTCTATTTCACTATCATAATAAACATTTCCGGTGAATACACTTTAACACGACGAGACCACAGAAATACCAACGTGTAACCAATTTGTTCCAAGTTTTTGTTGAAACATTCGCACTAGTACTTGTTTAATCGTATACATTCATTCTATTTATTTAGCTTTTTAAAATTGCGAATAAAAACTTCAAAAGAGCGTTTTGCTCTTACGCCTCGGTTTTAACCTTTGAAAAAGAGGCATGTTTGTAAAATATTTTTTCTGCACCACGTGTTCTTCCTTTGAAAATTTAAAAAATGGACTGAATTATTTAAGCTTACTAATTTAAATAAAATACTTTTAATAAATTTCAGTAATACTGCACAAAACTACCAAATTTGTCATTGTAATTTTATTTTTTATTCAAATTCTATTGTTTAACGATTTTTATTTGATAGTATTGAATTAAAATAAAATATTTTCTGGAAAAAAATTAATTAATTAGCTCCTCTTACTTGAGTTTTCTTACCTATTGTACATCAAAACGTCTGGTTTCCATAGCTTATTAGGTGTGATACGCAGGTCTTTGACACCTCCGTACTCGCTGTCATTCCACCTCAAGTTGTAGTCATTCCATTCCTGTCACACATAAATTAACCTTTAGAAAAGATTAACGTAATCCTTTTAGAATCGATTTTTGAAACTTCTTAAACAGACAACAAAAGTAAAATAATTAAATGTTTATGGTCTTCTTGTTTTATTTTCCTATAAATTGCGCGTTAATTTTATGCATTTTAAGTTTCATTCACTAGCCAATTAAATATGGATTAATTGGCTTAAAAGACTTAATTATTAAAAGAGTTGAGACTTAGTGGGGATAACCACTATATCAGTTTCGACATTTAATTAATTTTATTAATGTTACCTGTGTCCAAGTCGAAAAGCGATTAAAAACGAATAATGTAAACTCGATTCGTAACAAATTACATAAACTTTTGACAAGGCCTGTGTACATATATTATTGTTCATGCTTCATTGAATATTTAATTGGAGATCAGTTCGAATTGAGTTTGCAATATCGCTGGCGTTTGATAATTGGAAGTGATAAATAATTAAGCTTTTTGGAAACAATTTGATGTTCAAAGCATTTTTGATTTATGTGTTTGGCCTGCGTGATAAGTAAAGCACTGGCCTAATCGTTGTAACAACTGACATATTTCAAAATTAAAAGTTTTTCATCAGGACGAAAATATCTTAAGCTTTAGAACAAAACGTCACCGTGAACAAAAGGCAGTTAAGTTTCAAAATTGTTTCCAATACGCACCAGACGGGTCATATAACAACTTTAACTTGGCTGCAGACAATAACAGACTACGGTATTTAGATAGTACTGTAGCAAAGCTGACTTAGGGACTTCTACAAACTTTGTACCCTCTACACTCATATTACAAAAGTTTGTCTTAACTACTTTGAAGCAATATCTGGGCTACGTGTTTATACGTTTACAGTGCTTCAAGATAAAGTCAACCCTGTTCCTTCTTATTAAATCACCGTAAATGGCATTTCTAAAATTTAAGGGTTAGTTTCAAACTGAACCTTTGGGAAGGAACTTTTTGTAATGGCCAGTCTGGTGTTAAGTTTAATAGATTTCACTTTTCTTTTTTTCCAATATTTTTATTTATATTATCGTTGAATAAATATCAGTTATTAAAATTAATATGTTGAAATAAAGCTCAATACGTTATAATTGACGATTAACTAAATAAGAACTAAATAAATCAAAAACAATTAGAATACTATAAGAAACTAAAATATTTTCTTTTATAATTATTTATTAACACGGTAGCACAGTATGTACGGTGCTTAATGAATATTGTAAGTATAAATTGCATATTTAAATCCGTGTTAACAAATAAAACCTAATAAGCTAAGAAAGGAAGAAAAATGATGTACGCTATCTACTTTCCAATATCATAGGTATCAAGCTTCTACAAACATACACTTCACATTTTCAAATTGAAGCTTCATTAATATCTTATATGATAAATAATCATGCACTACGTCATGCTAAGAAAACAATCACATTTTCTAGACATCATCATGTACATAAAAACAGAAACGGATGGAAATTATTACAAATGGACTATATGGGTAGGTATGTTTTGACCGCTCTCCAAGATTTTTCCTCAAGAAACACATTCATGGTCTCAAGGATTACTACTACTTTGTTCGATATACTAAGCTGCCATTTTGGTAAATGCTAAGTTAATTATTGTTTAAATCGCTTATCAACATATATTTATTGTTGATAAAAATAACCATAATTAGTTAGATTGTGTTCATAGAATATTATTGCCAACAATAAACATACGTAAAAAGCGCTCTTTATTCTTTTTTATTTTTAAGTTACTCAAATAACAGAAAATAAAATCAACAAGAAATAAATTAAACAGGGTTTTATTTATCAACAGAGTAAAAACAAAAATACTCATATATTCGCAGTATCAGAAAGTTGCAGATTATTTAATCCTTCAAATGATTAACTTAACATAATACATCATATATTTAAAACTGTATGTTAAATATCAAATTTTACTTTTTCTTGTTATCAATAACATCATTCCACGGCCATGCATATATGTAAAATTACTACAATAATTGTAGCCAAACAAAAAAATCACAGCGGATATCCGGGATGTGCACAACCAGGTTACAGTGTAAAATTTATATTTTAATGTATTAAATAAGATGTGCAAGATCAATTTTGACAAACCGCTAAACATCCGTCACCAATATGTTACTTTCAATTGACACATTATTTCCCACCTAAATATGTATCTCGCATTTTACTTTAGAATGTTTAAAATGTCACGAAAATAATAAGTTAGCAATAAATAGCATTAATTTTTATAGTTTATTGTGTTTTATCTGTGTTTAAAAATGTTCAGGTCAACCATTAGTACATATTGTTAATGCATTGCGGCCTACACGGCAGTTACTTCGCGAGCTAAAATTTCAAACGTATTTCAAACAGGCTTAAGAACACAATAAGCCAGGTTTAACGAAAACATCCCGCGGTTATTATTATTCAACCCATCATTATCATTAGCTCATAAAACTATTCATTATTAGGTACCCGCTTGTTAAATAAAATTTACGTATTTGGCTGGAAACCTTTGTTTCTATTGAAGCACTTAAGCACTTCTTTTAAATAATTTAAAAACATAAAAAATCCTTTACAGTTTCCGACAACTGCGTTAAGTTGCCCATTTTTCGTAGTATAGTCTTAACATACTTTCATATACACTGAAACTGATGCTTTATCTATTTTATGCCGTTACTAGATGTAGTACGAAAAATTATCTTGGTGTAGACTAAAGAAAGTAAAGTCAAGTTACAGCCTATATACGTCCCACTGCTGGGCACAGGCCTCCCCTCATTTCTGAGAGGGTTTAGGGCAAGAAAGTGTCTGCCGCGCTGCCCCAATGCGTGTTGGCGAACTTCACATGTCTTCGAAATATATTTTTTTCTTATTCCTTAGACATGCAGGTTTCCTCACGATATTTCCTTCACCGCTGAGCACGTGGTAAATCTGCACTTAAAATTGCATTTAACAATTTTATTGGTGCCGGCGGGGATTGAACCCGGGATTGAACCTGCGTTCTGTTATATTTACAGCGAGCGTTAACCATCTGAGCTACCACGGTTCGGTGTAGGCTGATGATAGAATATTCAGTCTATTCTTTACTTACCTGAGCTCCGAAAACTAAATATGTTTTACCGGTTGTTATTCACAAAAAGACAAGTATATGCTTAATACTCAAGTTTATGCTATGATTAATTAATCGATACTCATTCTCTAAATAGTGATGACTTTGTACGATGGATGCATGATAGGGACTACAGACTATTCTACTTGCATGTCTGGAGATCAGCATAACGACAAGAATATACCGGGAAAAAAACTTGCTAAAAACTGTCAACAGACAACAGTAAAATATCAAAACTGCCGCATACTCCACAATGCAATGCAATTTTCAAAGATATATAGCAGAAGAAAAATTAAGGACAGAGTGAAAGTATATAAGAATCAAAGAATTGAGTCAAAGAAATTAAAAAAGTATAATTAAAATTATAAACGAAAGAAATAGAAATTTTATTGAGTGTTAATTTATGTTTGTTTTTAATCACACTTACCAATGACAGCCATATATTGGTTATAAGTAGTTGATTCTTCTCGTCCTATTTGGTTAGACGATGTCAACATAAACAGAGAGAAAGGGCGCAGTCAGTACAATGTTCTAAACAGCTGTGATTCCACATTTTCTGGATACACGTTACTTAGGGGCCGGGTGGCGCTCGAGAGGGTCTCATGCGGCAGAACGTCTCGCACGCCACCCTACACACAATCTAATATTTATTAGGCGCAATGACGAAACAACAATATAACACCGACTCTCCATGCGACAGATCTGCCGCGATGGCGGCGCCCTCTAGCCGCTCCCGCCTCCTGTATCCATTTTGTCAAAATTATGCTTTAAAACAGCGCAAAGCATTACATCAGAAAATTTTAATAGAGTGCATTGCAACTTAACTGTGCTTTAGCATGATAAGAAAGATAAATCACCAAGACGAATTATTTTGGAAGACGCATAAAATCGTTTACCATAGGAGGTTGCAAGGGCGGGACAGCGAAGGCGCCAAGCCCGGCTCCTACCACTTACCAAGTTAAGCCAGACGTTTGTCGTCAGGATTTGGTTTTTCTCATCCTTATTTTGTTAAACGAACACGCGGCAACGAAGGGAATGAAAAACAAACAATGAATTTGGGTCAACTTGTAGAACTCATCTATACATCTAATCCTTTATCTTTACTATTGTAAGATTAACCAGTCTTTTTAATTCGGATAATGACATAAAATTATAGTAAAATTGCCACAATAACTATTGTGACAATAGCTCTGTTCGTATATAACTAAAGCAATAATATACACATTGCTTTGGTTGTTCTGATGTCAAAGCGCTTTTGACAATAATGTACCAGACAATTCAGTCAACACAGCGAGAATCTGCATTCTGTCGGATGTCGTAGAGGAAAAGCAATTATATGGACATTCTGACGGTACAACTGAGTTTTGAGATGAAATCACTTTAAACATTTATTTTTAGAATTATTCTAATAATGCCACTGCTTTTAATACTACCGCAAACGTAAATGACAATTAAAATACATTATTTGTAAAATATTTATTCATAACATATAATTCTATTAAAAGGTTAAACTTAATATGCCAAGGTATAGTACTGGCAAGTCGTTTATCATGTAATATACACATAAAAAGAATATCAATAAAATAAACTTTCATTATACTAAGATGTAGTTAGAATTTAAATTTAATCCATTTAATATGAATTTTATTATTTTATCTTTGCCTAATTTTGTTCGTGGTGATATAACACTGAAGGTTTACGTTCTTTTGTCGAATATTTAATATTGTCAATTTATATTGAATAATATGTAATATCTTAATTACTTGAAACATTTACATATAACAAGTCTATTAGACAAAATAATATCATACAGTAATGATATTATTTTGTCTAATATCGATTTACGCTTCGCATATGAACCGTTCGAATGGATGATTGCAATACCAAATATTGCATTTCTATATTTATTTACCCTCCGCAGACAGTCTCAATATATCAATTCGGCCCAGTTTTTATAACCTTATTTCATACTTATTATCTGGCACTATAATTTACAACTTTGTGTGGATAGTTTTTAAACTATTATCAAGTTGACATAATTAGCTATAGTATAACATTGTCATTTGCCCATCTTTATATATAAAAATTACGTGTCACGTTGTTTGTCCGCGATAAGCTTCTAAACTACAGAACTAATTTCAATATAATTTTGCACACTGTGTGCAGTTTGGTCAAACTTGAGAGATAGCATAGTTTTTATTCCAATAAGTAACCCTCGATGTATTTTATTACGAATTTAATGATTTTTTATATGACAAAGGGTCATCGAATATTGCAAAACAACGTCTGCCTGGCCAGCTAGTAATCTATAAATTGGTGGAGATGAGGTTTTAAAGTGAGGATTTGCAAATTTAGTAGTCTTAATTTCTACTTCTCCATCATCATCTCTGTAAGAGTCTCCCACTCTAGGAAAAATTTGCAGCAATCTCAGCTAAGACATTATCTAGTTTATAGGAGATAGTATCGATCAATCGGAAAGCATGATGTTTTTTGTCATTTACTAGTACAGTATAGGACAAACTTAGTACTATAATCCAAATCTATAAAATTTATTATTAAATTCAACAACAAAAATAAAACTCTTTGCGAATTAATAAATAATACTCGTACAATCATTACGAATATAACATAGAAGCTTAAGCGTTCGATTGGACTAATGAATGAACATCCTTTTTCCGGTATTTTTCATTAGATGATTTTTACTGGAGCACTGATATTAAGGAACAAAATGTTTCTTTATGAATCAATACTACTTTAGTGTGGAGTTTTGAAGTTCCTTTGTATGTTGACGTTTAAAAATGTACACACAAATTTCTAATTAAATGGTCTTTCTCAACTAAACTGGGAGATGCGGAGTAATTTAACTTAGGTAATTAGGAACTTTTTGGAGTACAAAGTATTAATTATTATTAAAAATTTACTACTTTTAATAATTATTATTAGTAATAAAGGTATCTGCTGTAGTTGCTACACTTGTTAGGCGGCTTGTGAACCATAGTTCGTGTTATTATTCTTATCAGGAATTATAATGAAAAAAGTAAAGAAAAAGGTGCTCCCTATCTTCTTCTTATATTTCCTTACGACACCTGCGGTTAGTGGATAATACTTAATTTTTTTTGAATACTAGGAATGCTATAAACATTACTAATATTGCCTTTAACCGCTCCTGGTAAGCTTAAAGTGCTTGTGCTACGAGTGCTTCACAACAGTAGTCGAATGGTGGGTACGAACCCATGAGCTTTTGAGTACGCAGTCAACACCCTGCCATATTTAAAATTTCATTCTTATTCATTATGATTTAAAATCATTTTATGTACAATGGAGGCGTAAAAAAGACCACAGGAAATACCAAGAAATTTAAAAGATTTCGAAAAAAGATCCAGAAAATTCGATAGATTACAGATTACTTCACATTTTCTGTCATTAAAATATCAAAACTGGGAAGCAATACGATACGATAGGTCTGATGGTCGCCTGGCAAATATAACTAGGAAGTCTAAGTACAACAGTAGACTATTTAAGGGCCGATAATGACGATGATGATTTCTACTATTGTGCTGTAAGTTGGTTTAACAATGCGACGTATTGTGCTTTGTTTGCGTGAACTTGATGTCATGCTACAAATTGCTACGCTATTACGATTACTAATATTCCATTATTAGGAGTAATTAACTCCTAGTAAGCTGAAAATACTTTAGGAGTGGTTCACCACAGTTGTTGAATGGCGAATTCGAACCCACAAGCTTTTGAGTTCACGATCCGCACCCTATTATTAGGCTATTGACGCTTAAATAAATATAATGTATTAATCTTTATTGATATGTTTATCAATAAAAACTATTACTTATTTTTATTGAAAATTAGTCGAATATAGTCTGTAATGGTAAGTCGCTACTAAAATCCATGAACAAGCTTCATGTAAAGAAAGCTACAAATGCGTAGTCATCGCTGAAGACTAAGATGGAATGTGGCACAACCTGCAATTATACTGGCTCTCCTAGTCCTAGCACACTATTTGAAAATGAGCCTGTAGTCCAGAAAAGGATACCAGTAACTCTCTGCAGATTTAGCTCCCAATGAGACACAAAACCAATATTGGGTTCAAATGGCACATATTTTTATAGCCAACCCATAGTACTTCATCATCATCATCATTATTACAGCTCTTCATAAGTCTGCGCATAAGAAAGGCCTCTTCCAAGGAATGCCACCTCTAGTACTTAACTAATTAATATTTATGTTTCAAATAAAGTTTACAAACAATTTTACAAATAAATTTATGCCTTAAAAAGAGAACCCAACCGTTGTCAAAGTAGCGACGCCTGCTGTCGTTCCCACCAATTGTTGTCAAGTTATGAATTCGTCCCTTTCTTATTACATTTTTCAGTGGAACATCATCCCTTTTGTGTTCCGCCCTCACCCGTGTTTTGTTCCATTAGGTCAGACTGGGTTACAAGAGCGCTTCGTTAACTGGATTTTGATAAAGAAGATTCAATTTTAGCGCGCGGTCTTTTGATTTCTCTATGTTTTGTACAATTTTACTATCTTTTCATAACGGAACGAGGATTACTAAGCTATGCAAGGAAAATAAACGTGTTTTTAAATTGCTTCGACAAACTGTCTCCTAGATTCTGGAATTGCTTTTTTATTATTTTCAAAATAAGCTTTGATATTATGGCCAATGCATTGTACGTGGTAGAACCACATTGCAGCTGTTTTACGGTAGTAGCACGAATGGGTCGGTACGACTGGGGTAGGACCACGCTCACACAGAAAACCAGCGTTAAAAAGTAGCTTAATACTGCTGTGTTTCGTATGGTAGAGATCCGGAGACTCCTTTTTACTGGAAACGAGGCATTCTATCTTAGTCCTCAGGAATGACAAGGCATCTGCGTTTTGATTCTTAATCGAGGATAAATGTAGATGTCTAAGTTCCACAGCATCCACTAATCATCAGGTGGATTCTGTGCTCGTTTATAACCCTTATTCTATAAAAAAAAGACCTCAATTGCGTAGTTAACAGACGTTTTATACATATTTGAACTAAATTAATCCTAATTTTAAAACCTAGTAGGCCTAAGTATCAATATAACATTAATTACTTTCTTTAAAAAAAACGTTACTCCACACTAGGATTTTCTCCTGTATCGTGGGGGCAGTTTACAAACATAAATTGCACAAGGACAAACATCCAAACCCAGAACAATTATTTGTAGGTCATACAAATACTTGTTCTGTGCGGGATTCAAACCCGCGGCCCCCAGCGCAGCCACTCATTGCTAAGCCACTGCGCCACGGAGCCGTCATCAATTTGAAGGATTACATTAACAAAACTTTACTATGCCGTACGACCAAAAACTTTGATCCTACATCTACAAAATTTGAAGCTTTATTAAATTTAAAACACTGAAAACAGGTGTGCCAAACTTAGTATGACACCAGCACAGACTGAATTAAATACAAATTACCCTATCAAAACTTGTAAGCCCCCTGAAGACCTGGTATTGTTAACATTTAAAACTTTGAGAAGTTGTTACGAGGTGTTTTGAACTCCGGATATATTGTTAGTCCCTGTGCACGGTTAGTCTTGTAAATCTAGGCATGCAATGACAAGCCCATTATTACATTAAGCTTATATTTGAACTATTTTTTTCTCATCATCATCATCATCATTACAGCCCTTCACAAGTCCACTGCTGAACATAGGCCTCCCCCAAGTAATGCCACAAAGCACGGTCCTGAGCCACCTGCATCCATCGACTTCCTGCATATCTTACCAGGTCGTCACCATCTAGTGGGGGGTCGCCATCGCGGTACGAGGCTGCCACTCGAGAACCTTTCTTCCCCATCGGTTATCGGTTCTTCGAGCAGTATGGCCGGCCCATTGCCACTTAAGCTTACTAATCCGTTGGGCTAAGTCGGTCACTCTGGTTTTACTGCGGATATCCTCATTTCTGAGTCTATCACGCAGAGAAACTCCGAGCATAGCCTTCTCTATAACTCGCTGAGCGACCTTAAGCGTCCTCATACGGCCAGCAGTGAAGGACCACGTCTCTGATCCGTAAGTCATCACTGGCAACACGCACTGGTTGTACACTAGGGTGGGCGAAAAAATTTTTTTTTCGTAATTGTTTTGTAATACCTGTAAAAAAGTTGCTCTTATAGCTTACAAATATTCTCACAAAATTTTGGTTGACATATGATATATTTGGAGGTGCCCCCAACATCATGAACTTTAGAGAAATTCACGAAATTTTGTCAAAACACACGAATGTCTAATTAACGCTAAGTCATATTGAGAGTGTCACCCTGTTGGTACAAGACATTCAATTTTGACCTTGAAATGTGTGCGGTGAGGAGCGGGGGGTTGTGGGGCACGGGGGGAGGTGAATACACTACTCTCGTCAAACGTCGTTCGAATGCCTTTTAGTGCACCCGCGCGCGCGATTTAATACTATTACACTTGTGAAAAGCATTGATTTTAACGACTTAAATCAAGAAGTAAGACTCATGTAAGTAGTATTTTCAATTTCCTGCTCATAGTTAATGCAATTTAGATCAAAATTGATTGAATTCATACCTATTATTTCTCTTTATTACAGTCAAATGTCGCAAGTAAAAACACGACAAAAGACATCCTGTCCTGTGTTTGGTTTACCAGAGAAGTTACCCGTAGCTCAATTACCAACTTATAATGATGTAATGAAAAATTATTTATTCATTAAATATGAATTAAAGCCTGACAAAAAAACAAAAGAGCCGACAATTCATGACATATCCGAAAGATTGGCTCAGGAAGTTTTAGAAATTTGGCGAAAAGCGTCGCTGCCAACAGTCAGTCTTAAGAGAGTATTACAACTTATTCGATCCTACCATGACAAATATAGAAGCTTAATGAAACCTTATCGAGGCCGTCAATTAAACAAAAAATATCAAGAGAAGATAAATACATTCATAACTGAGCCTCATAGATTATTTGATGTTTGCAGTTGCAAATGCAAACTTATTTCAGATTGCACTTGTTCAAAAGACAGTCGTGTTCCCAAGGAAGAAATAAAATTTTTACTCGACCAAAGGACAACAAGAAAAATGATGATAGGTGGTGTAGATTTGGTTACAACTGTAAAAAATAAGAGAAAACTAGAAAGACAAGAAAAAAGTTTATTGCGTAACAAAGAGATATTTGATCCCAACAAACCGTGTTGTTCTCGTTCGTTGCCTGATGATGATGACTTGACGATCGAAAGCACCAGTTCAAGCAATAGCATAGCTTCTAGTCCTTATCAATCGCCAAAACACGTAGCGAGACTACCAAAAACCCCACCACCACCAAAAAAAAGAAGTTAAATTTATCATCATTAGCCCTCGCTTGCGATCGTACTGGAGTCTCCGACAGAGCCGCTGCTATTATAGCTTCTTCTGTGTTAAAAGATGTTGGCATTATTTCAACGAAGGATCCAAGCGGTGTCATTGATCGTTCTAAGTTGCGTCGTGAAAGAACTAAAGTCAGATCATCTTTACAAGACGCAGATCGTAATAAAATCATACGCGGTATTTATTTTGATGGCAGAAAGGATAAGAGTTTAGTAAGTATTAAGAAGGAAGGCAAATTTTACAGAAAAAGAGTAACAGAAGACCATTATGTGATTTTATCGGAGCCAGGAAGTGATTATTTCGGGCATGTTACGTGTGAGTTGGGAACCGCTAAAGGTATTCAAAGTACAATTATACGTCACCTGAAAATGAAATCGGTGGATCTGAATAAAATAGCTGTTGTTAGTTGCGATGGAACTGTCGTGAACACAGGTTCCAAAGGTGGTGTTGTTCGTTTGATGGAAGAAGAACTTAAGAAACCATTACAGTGGTTTATCTGCCAATTGCATTCAAATGAGTTACCACTGCGACATCTGTTATTACATTTGGATGGAAAAACCACAGGGCCTAAATGCTTTTCAGGTCCTATCGGCTCTGAATTACAAAAATGTGAAACAATGCCAATTGTCGAATTTACCGTCATTCCTTCAACATTACCTGAAATTCCTAGAAATGATTTGAGCACCGACCAAAAATATCTTTATGATGTGATGAACGCTATCAGCACTGGCGTCTTTACTTCCGATTTGGCTAATATCGAACCTGGACCCCTTAGCCATTCTAGATGGCTTACAACAGCAAATCGAATTCTAAGATTATATGCTACTAAAACAGACCCCCTAGAAAACTTAATGATATTAGCCACATACGTGATGAAAGTTTATGGTCCGATGTGGTTCACTATAAAGTGTAATCCATCATGCATAAATGGAGCTAAGCACCTGTGGCAAACGATTAGCCTGACTCGCTATTTGAGCGCGGATTTGAAGATAGTCATTGATAAGGTACTCATACGAAATGGATATTTCGGGCACCCAGAAAATATTCTTATTGCTATGCTTGGAGATGACAGAGAAATCATTCGAGAACTAGCATGTCAACAAATTTTGAAAGCTAGAGCAGAGAATGATCAAGGACTTCGAACGTTCAAAGTGCCTCCTTTAAATTTCGATGCTGAAGATTATACCGACCTCATTAAGTGGCAAGACTGTAAAATAACTGAGCCACCTCTGACTTACAATTTATCTGATGAATTCTTGAAAGAGATTGTCAAATGCGGTTTGAGAACATGTCAGAGTATAAAAGATTTCCCATGCCACACCCAAGCCGTAGAGCGCTGCATAAAATTGGTGACTGAAGCTTCATGTGCAGTTTGTGGAGAAAATAAACGAGACGATTTCATAAGGGCACGATTATTATCACGTCAGCAAATGCCAAATTTTGATACAAAAAAAACAATTTAATATTTAATTACTATGTTTCTGAACGATATCCAAATCTATCATAATTACTTAGTTTTACCTTATTTTTTTTAATATATGTATTTTTTATATTTAACCAGACTTTATTTAACCGATTCCTAAGCTGTTACTCTGTTGATGGTGTCTACTACACTAACACATAGGTATATATAGAGTAGCGTAAGGAACTTTGTTCCCGCCTGGTGTGCTACGACATTCATCGCTTTTTTCAAATTTTCAATTGTGTTGGGGCACCTCAAGACATCATGATAAGTAAATAATATTTTGTATGTAGGATTTACTCAATGAAAGGCAAATTTTTATCGCTATGCAATCAAAAAAAAAACAAAAAAAAATTTCTTACATTATCACTCCACCCTATTGTACACTTTAGTTTTCAGAGATTGAGGTATACCTGACGAGAAGATGTGTCGTAATTTCCCGAACGCTGCCCAGCCGAGTTGAATCCGTCGATTGACCTCTCGGTCGAAGTTGGACTTACCTAGTCGGACTATTTGTCTCAGGTAAACGTACTCGTCAACAACTTCGAGCATAGTGCTCCCAACAACTACCGGTATAGGTGTGACATGGACATTAAACATGATCTTTGTTTTGTCCATGTTCATCTTAAGACCTATCCGTTGGGAGGCACTATTGAGGTCATTGAGCATAGTGCTTAAGTCCTCCAGCGATTCTGCCATAAGGACTATATCGTCGGCAAATCGAAGGTGAGTGATGTACTCGCCATTGATGTTAATACCGTATCCTTTCCAGTCCAGTAGCTTGAAAACGACTTACAAAGCAGTGGTGAAGAGTTTCGGGGATATAACGTCACCCTGTCTTACACCTCTCTGCAGTTGGATAGGTTTCGAGCTCTGGTTCTGTACTCGGATAGCCATCGTAGCCCTACTGTACAAACACTTCAGCACTTCGATATACCGACAGTCAACTTGGCACCGCTGAAGGGACTGCAGCACCGCCCAAATTTCGACGGAATCAAAGGCTTTCTCATAGTCCACATACGCCAGGCAAAGTGGCAAATTGTACTCTTCAGTCTTCTGTACAATCTGCCGCAGGGTATGTATGTGGTCTATGGTACTGAAGCCTTTTCGGAAACCGGCTTGTTCGGGAGGCTGGAAGTCGTCGAGTCTGCTTGCGAGACGATTCGTAATGACTCTCGAAAACAGCACGTAGACGCGGCTCAGAATGGAAATCGGTCTGTAGTTCTTCAAGAGAGCGTTGTCGCCTTTCTTAAAGAACAAGACCACCGCACTTCTGCTCCACGCCTCTGGAGTAGTGCCACCATGGAGGACGGAATTGAAGAGCTTCTGAAGGACTTCAAGTACCGGTGTTCCACCCGCTTTCAGAAGCTCCGCTGTAATTCCATCCTCGCCCGGGGCCTTGCCGTTTTTAAGGTGGTGGAGAGCCATTCTAATCTCGCTCAGACTGACGTCCGGGATATCATCGGAATAGTGTCAGATAAGACTTGCTCTTGGATCGTTACTCACACTTGAGTGTGGCTCCAACGATGATGTGTACAGCTGCCCATAGAACCTCTCAATCTCACTCAGAATCTCAGGTGTCCCGGAAACGATGCTGCCACACTCAGTCTTCAGCTTCGACAGTTGGCTCTTTCTGGCAGACAGATCACTGGCAAAGACTCGGTTGCGTAAGTCTCGCCGCATGAATTTGGAGTTCTGTCTGTTCAGTTGCCTGTATGCTGTCAAATCTGTTGACGATTGCAGCCTCATCTACCGTCTAACAGCCATGAGATTAAGAGTGTGATCGGAGAGTTTTTGTGTTCTTCTGCGTCGGGTCTTGCAGAACTTAGCTCCGACCGCATGGACAGTTTCCACGAGCTTGTCATTCATATCGTCCACTGCATTGCAATCTTGTAGGCACTGAAAGCGGTTGTGTAACTCGAGCTGAAAGTTTTCGGGATTCTGGATTAGAGCACGAGGGGGACGGAGCCTTGACTTCATTAGACGAGACCTCTCCAACTTTACGTTTTGGTTCAGTGTGCCTCTAACCATTCAGTGATCGCTGGCAGTTTTCACCCTTGCGATCACTGAGACATCACTGAACAGTTGGCGTCTGGTCGTCATAATGAAGTCAATCTCATTTTTTGTCGAACCGTGGGGGCTCGACCAGGTCCACTTCCTGTGGGGCCGCTTCTGGAAGAAAGAGTTCATCATAAAGAGTCCCTCTTTCTCCATAAAGTCGGCCAGCTGCTGGCCCCTTCGGTTCCGTTGCCCTACTCCAAATTTCCCTAACTTCAGCTCACCGTTTTCTCTTGTGCCTAGTTTTGCGTTGAAGTCTCCCATCAACACCGTGCAGTGGGTTTTTATGGTTTGGATATCTCATACATTTCCTGCACCTCCTCATCGGGATGT